TGACAAATATTGCGATTGCGATATTTGTTTTAAGCAACCCAACGTATGTTTATTGTAAAATGCGGCCATAACTCCGGCTAGGAAGGTCGTATCAACATGCTCCCGTCTCTAGCACCCCCGCAGCACGAGCTACGAGTGAAAGAACTAAACTTACATGAAACTTCCGTTGGGCTGCTTTAAAGTCAAGCTTCAGTTTAAGACTCACCCTGTAATAGAAACATGTGATGGAGCATTACTAACCTGACTCAGATGGTTTGTTTCGCCAGGCCATCTAGGAAAGCTCCACTGGAAGCCATTTGGAAAGGGCAAGCACTTTCAAAAATACTTGGCAAGTGATTGGATCAATCTGTCTATCACCTTCTATCATGGGCCACTTCTGATTGGTTAAGAATGGCTGGTACATGTGGAGCACAGCACTTCTGATTGGTGTGGATGACTGACACACAAGAACAAAAAACTACCCCAGACCCATGTATTTAGCTAGTTTAGAGAGAATAATCAACATTGTGCATAACAAGATAGAATCATAACACCTCTATCAGCTGACGCCAACAGGCAGCAACAGGGAGACAAAACACTGAGAGCACAGCAGCCAAGGTTACAGGTGAGTGTGCTCAGTCAGGACAGTATGAACTGATAAACTGGGTCAAAGTTATGGGCCTTGGAAAATATTTCCCCGACAATAACTGTACACCTCCCCCTCCACACACACACACACACACACACACACACACACACACACACACACACACACACACACACACACACACACACACACACACACACACACACACACATCATGTTCCCCAGTCTGTTGATATGATCTACATGATCTCCTAAATGTCCTCTTGCACCACCTTCCCATGACCTTCACATGCAGGTTCTCATGAAGTGTCAGTTTGTACATATATTTTGTTCAGATATCCTCAGGATGAATTGTAATAATGTTTTTTTATCTTAACAAATCCAATACTTGGTTTTATGACCAAAAAATGACAACCCCATCATCATCAGCTTTAGTGTATTAATGTTAGCATTTTGCTTTAAGCACCACAGTGCCTGAAGTGTAACAGATCTGACGTGACTGACATTTCACACTCTAGTCAGTGTCATTTCAACCTGCATATTACAGCCACAGGAGCAATTTCTATTTCGGATGAATATTTAACACCAAACCTGAGTGCAGCCATGTTGAGCGGGGAGGTGTCACATGTATCCTTATGTAATTTTCTCTATTTGCTCATGGTCATAAACCTTTTTACTGCGTTTTAACAGAAGGACCTTGCTATATTTTACCTGTGCACACACAGCACATGCTCTCCTGTGTATCTTTGCCCTCAGGACTTAAATCCCATCAAGAATACACTCTGGGAGTAAGAGACATATTGAAATCTGCCTTTTTGTTTTTCTATTTAGACCTTGCAACGCTGTAGGGAACCACATCTAGATCAATCTCTCCAAGGCAAACTCAAATATGGAATTTAAAACAAAGCCTAACTTGTGTCAGAGTTACTGTGTCTAGTTGTTGAAATATGAGTCATTTCTCCATCGACAATGCAATGAGCAAAATACTGACACAGGACTGAAATGGTTACTGGGAGAGAGTGTAGAAGCCACTTTTTATCATGATTTTATACCTGTCAAAATAAATCAAATAATATATTATATTGTGTACATGCATGTACGTGGACCCATGTGAAGGGGAAGCTGTTCATTAACGCAAGTTCATTGATGTTTTAAACACAAATGTGTGAAAAACGAGTTTGGGAAATCTGCTTTCTTCCTCCTTCAGTTAAATATATAGCTTTAGCTGATTAGTTGAGCATAGTATGAACAAATAGTCAGGGATATAACACTCCACAACCGTTTTTACATTCATGTTTTTGTATGTATTAAACAAGATGTCACAGGGATTAGTTAAATCTAAAGGTAGCTGAAGTTTTCCCTTTAAGGCTAGGTGTTTTTGCTCCGTTTACAGCCTTTGTGCTAAGCTAGCTAACCAGCTGCTTTCTCTGACTTAATATTTAGCATATAGACATGGAAGTGGTGTCAAACTTCTCATTTCAATCTCAGCAAAAAAGGGAACAATTACTTTTAAACAAGTGCAGATTTATTTAGGCATGTTTTGAAATGTATTATCTAACTCTATAACAGCATTCAGACACCATAGCAGTTTATTTCTGTGTGGGTTTTTTTAAGCTGTGAAGCCTGTAAAATGTAATGTCTTTCATATCCTGATTGTGAACCTCGTTTAAATTACTTACTTTGTTGTTTGTTAGTATTGACCCGTTGTGGGGGAAACTTCTGTGTAGCAATGCAGGAGGAGTCCCCGACTCAAAGGAGACACGCGGAGAACTGGAGCTTTGATGTCAAACACTAATGGGTTTATTTAGGAGCTTCAGCCGGAGAATTCACAAAACAAGTCAAAGAGTCAGAGGTTCTGACTTCACGGTAGAGTTGCCACGTCAATTCTGAAGAAGTCTACCCCATACCCATGTATTTAGCTAGTTCAGAGAGAATCATCAACATTGTGCATATCAAGATAGAACCATAACACCTCTATCAGCTGACGCCAACAGGCAGGAACAGGGAGACAGAACACTGAGAGCACAGCAGCCAAGGTTACAGGGGCGTGTGCTCAGTCAGCACAGTATGAACTGATAAACTGGGTCAAAGTTATGGGCCTTGGAAGATATTTCCCCAACACCCATCAAAGTATATGTTAGAACATCAAGTGTCTTTCATGTGGGAACTTAACAACACCTTGGTAAAGGGATCTTAAAAAGAACAAAATACTAAATTATTAAAACGCAGACACCATTACATCAGGAATTAAATCTATCCTTGCAGATATTGAGAAGTGCTGAACAGGACACAGTGGCAAAGCTTAGAGAAGGAGGACAGGATGTGGATTGTCCTTGTGCCCGGATGCTGAGGCTTTGAGCACGCAGAATGTGATCCCATTATCCTTGAGGGTCCCAAACTCTTCCCAGACTAATAGAGGGGTGGAAAGCCATGGGAGGTCTGCAGAGCCATTCAGGTCTCAGGTGACAAGTATTCTGCAGATTGTCCCATGGTAGACAGAGAGCCACAAGGGCGAGCGTCCCCTTGAATGTTCTCGAAATGTCCCTCACCCTTAGGAGTGTAGCGTTACACCTTCCAATTGTAGCCTCCCAGGCTCGTCCCTGAACAGAGACTCCTTTGAGAGGCGCTGCTGAGAATTTGGGAAGTCAGCCAATTAAAAAAGAAAAGGTTATCAGGGTAAAATCTAAAACAGAATTATGATGAGCAGCTCTTTAAACTCTGCATTCTTTGAAAATCTTGTGAGCCTGGTTTCCTTTCACACAATCACACACAATTAGCATTGCTTACTTCGTAAACACATCAGTGAAAAATGCCAGAGGGAAGAGCTTTGTTGTTGTTTTTCCCCCTTTAGGCTTAACCTCATTTATTTAAGACAATATTAAACGCTGATTTCTTTGTAGTGAAGATTTACGTCTGTTTTGTGCAACTAATATCAGAAACGTTTCCCAAATACTTGATTGCTTTGAACCTTATTTTCTTTGCAATTCCATATTCCATTTTCGTTAATAAGTTAGTTTGACAGAATATGAAAGAATAAAGACAATTGATCTTGTGATTCCCTGTAACAGCAGTGGTATGAGGATGATGTATTTCCTTGCAAGGAATCCTCCTTTATACACCTGCTGATTTTATTTCCCCTTTTCCATGATAAAGCTTTCTCAGGTGTGTACTCATTCTTCCTTTTTGTTGTGTGTGTCTTTATTGCAGATGGTGAGTCACGCCCTCTCTCTCAGTGAATAGCCGCCCTCACAAAGGCGAAAGGATCTCAGCCTGTAAATAAAACCCTCTTCCTTCTGCACAGCGTGGGAGAAAGTGCCACTGTGGCATCTCTGCAGGCTGATAACTGGAGTGAGGCATCATCTTTCACTCTGAGCCACTCACCTTTCATGCAGCGGATCCTGAGCCGGCTGTCGAGGCTGGACTGTCAGCACAGGGAGGCTCACATCATCTCCTCTTCCTCATGAGAATGCAGAAGCACACATGAGGGAATAATCATGCTATTGTTTGCATAGTCTTCATACAGGATTAAGACACCTTACCTGATTCATTTTCACTTTTTTTGGGGCCCAGTGGGGCCGTGTGTTGGGAACAGAGACAGCTGGTGTTGACTCTTCTGCTTTATGAGTTTTCATCACTGGCAGGGGGAGCCAGCATGGCCAAGCCTCTGCTGAAAATACAGCGCTATTTCCGCAGGAAACCTATCCGATTCTTTTCCCTCATCCTCCTGTACCTGACTGCCGGGAGCCTCGTCTTCTTGCACTCTGGCTTCGTCGGGGAAAGCCGCTCCGGGGCCAGAGGAGGCCGAGACTCCTTGGTAGCTTCAGAGAAGGGAGGCCGGACTTCACTGTCAGACGCTCGGGGGCTTGGCATCATGAGTCGAGTGTTTAAGGAGACTCGCAGGTCCGGGCGGAGGTACGGCCCTCCGTGGATGAAGAAGCCGGGACAGGAGGGCCAGGACACGGTGCGCAGGGGGGGAGACTACACCAACAACTGGAACCGGGCCCTTAAAGCACGCAGCGCCAAAGATGTGGACGATGGAAGAGGTGGGTTACACAAACACTCCTTCACGCTGTTTCAGTGGGATTGTTTGCAGCCTGACAGTTTTTCAAATTAAACCATTGATCATGTTTGAAACTAGTTGATGCATTATTAAAATATGGTCCACATTTATCCCTGTTTTCTCCACTGTAAAATTACCTATCAAAACAAGTATGATAGCTCCATGTGTGCTCACTTAATCAGATCAGCAAAGCGTAAATAGAATGTACTGGTACAATATAATAACATTAATTTTAAATGAGGGAATAATCACAACATGCACCAGCAATCTCAAATATAATTGCAGTGTTGCAAGATTAATGACTGCTCAGTGTTTACACCTGAAGTTTTATGTAAAAATAATTAGAACAATAATAATTACGCATTGTCGCTCATAAGAATATTGAAAAAATATAAGTAGGCTTATTTAAAAACATTTGAATACAGGCTAATGTACAATGCATGTTCCCTGGCAACAGGCCGCACTTGTCTCTCCAACACTTCACGTTAATATGAAATTGATCCAAAGTAATCTGTAATTACAAACGGCACTTCTTAATGGCTGAGGATTTCTGGTTGTAATTGGTGGTGCAGAAGGTCTCTTGAGAGGGGAGTGAGATGATTATTATGATTAAGTCCTCCGTGTCGTCTCAGAGCGAATCCTTCGAGGGCCGAACCCGCAGAGCTTCATCTGCAACACAATCCCAACATCTAAATGACTTCATGATCACAGGATTTACAGTTTTATCTTTTACTGTGCTCCAACAAAAATCCTGACAGAAATGGTTGCATGTAAACTCTGACTGGCATGTGACATCTTACTGAGTAACAAAATGTTTTGAAAACATGAGTGTGAGGACGGGAAGTCTCCATCCTCAGCCGACAGCTCTGACCTTGGATGGCACGACTATCTGTCTTTTTCCTTAGCCAATGAAACATGATCAAATGAGCTCTCTATCGGGCTCTCTTCCCCCTCTCGGCTTTTCTTACGCTGTCAAACACTCTCTCCTCTGTTGGAGGAACTATAAAATATTAACAACATAGTCAAACAGTGTATCTCTCCGACATCTGCTCGAGAAGTAGCGCAAGACCCCTACTTCCCTCACCATGAGGAAACACAAAATAGTGTTAACAGTTTAAAAAAGATAGACCCTTTCACTTTTGTTAAAAAACTCTGTTACAATTAAATGTCCTTCATTTGTTTATAGTGGAGTATACTATAAACACACTTTCAAGCACTCACACTGAACACTACATATAATATTTAGTTGGATTATCATCACTGATTCTAATATTGCAACTGAGTTGGAGCACATTTGTGAACTACTTGATATACTAATGTGCAGTTTTATATATTAATCATGAGTTTTGGCACTTTCAACTTCAATCTTCTTAGTAACTCGGGTAGAAAGTCTATCTGTCAAATAAATGTAGTGGAGTAAAATCAATTGCACATTCGTGGTGTGAAATTAGGGGAAGCAAAAGGTATGAAAAAGGATATAGTCACATTTCAACATTGTAGCTGAAGTACATTACAGTAAATATTACTTTCCACTGCAGATTTTTAGACGCTGTCATAGATACCATTTCTAGTCCGCCAACTGAAATAAATAAAGCTCCTCACTTGCGACCAAGTAAAGGCAGCATTACCAAAACATAAATCTACTAAGTTACAGTGTAATTCTATGTATTCATATCCACAGCATCTCATAATAGACACTGAGGAACCATTAATTTCACCATAACCTCATTGTGGTTATGTGGAGTTCTGGTTTCTCTCCAGAGTGCAGGTGCATAATCTAAACTGCCCATAAATACGGTGTGTGTGTGTGTGTGTGTGTGTGTGTGTGTGTGTGTGTGTGTGTGTGTGTGTGTGTGTGTGTGTGTGTGTGTGTGTGTGTGTGTGTGTGTGTGTGTGTGTTTGAAAGAGTGTGTGTATGTG